CACTCTCTTACCACTCTACCCTGTACAGTACCCTGCTTGTGTCGCATGATGGTCTCCCTTTAGCCGGGTTCCTCTGAGTCGGGCTCTCCCTTGGTATACGCATAGGCATCGGGACCGTAGCGTTGCCCTGGCTTCCCATCTTACGGATCTAGCTCCGACTTCCCTCACTTTAGGAGTCATTTGCATGATTCCCTTACCCATCATCTTTCTACCCTTCGCCGACCCTCACGCCCTAGTTAGGCAGCCCCGTATGCTTCATCTAGGTGCGCCCAGTATACCAGGCTCCCTTGTTCCCTTGCATGGTCGACCCTCCATAGCGGTCACCCCTTAGTCGAGCATTACCCGCCCTGATGGTCTATTTGTTAGGGTCATTGGTTCTGTTCGCTCCCAGTTCCCTACCCTCATTGAGCCTGATGACATGTGTTTTCCTCTGTCACTATGTGTAGATGCCCTTAGGAGTTTTCGATCCCTAGGCTGCATTCGCCACCTTCAGAGACCATCCCACCCTTTGGTGTGCGACACACTTCTCATGTGACATATGGTTGTCTTCTTGATTGCTTTGTTGCTCTCAGACTGAGGCTACTGCCTCCGACATTTCTAGGATTTAGTTGTTCTGCTTTTGCTGTTCTTAGGACTTATACACTAGTTAGTTGTTACCAGATTGAGGCTAGTGCCTCCAACATTCTAGGATCTAGTTGTCACTACTTTTTGCTTTCCTAGGACATGTATGTTAGTTAGTTGCTCCTACTTTCACTTAGGCTGTTAASTGTGACATTGCTGTTTTGTGACATTTTATATCCTAGGTTGCATCGCATGGACTCAGCATGGAGCTTGCTCCGCATCCTAGACTACTCAGGTTTTCTTTTCTTTGGTAGAGTTCCGCTTCTTGGCGGAAGCATGTTTGTATCTAGGCGATCCATCACAGGCTGAGGATCGTGTAGCGGACCTCGGGTTGGCCTGTGAGACCAGCCCCTTGGCCTGTTCTCACAGACCTGTGTTATATTCGGGGTAGGCCAGTCCAGGCCGGTACCTCTGTCGGTACCAGCCAGTCCGGTCCAGACTCGTCAGTCCGCTGGGGTATACCCCAGCCATTGTCTGTTTTCAGTCTCATTCCTCACTTGCACATTTTGGAGTACGTGCGTTGGAGTCTTGCGTGGGGAGCTGCGTTGTGCCATCTTGCTCCCCCCTTCTTCCTCCATCTCCATCTTTGTCACTAGCGGAGCACCACACCTGGTGGGTCCGCTACACACTTAGTCTTTTGATGTACCATATAACCGAATCGATAATCTTTAGATCAAGATTCAGTTTGCCCCTTCGTACCACAAGTTTATTCTTAATTCATACTCTCTTCAATTTGTGATAAGCTATAGTCAAACCACCCAAACTTATGGAACCCTGTCTGACTAGCCTGTTCATAGATAAAATAATAGTAAAGTATAGCCAAGTTATATCCTTTTGGTTCTAGCATGTGTGTGGCATTGGATGAAGACCACCCAAACTTATGGGAACATGTCTGGTCCTCAACCTGGTTCATTCTTTAAAACCAAAGCAGGAAGCGTCTGAGCCACCAAAACTTATGGAACATGCTCAGGCCTCCTCGTTCAGAAACTAAAGAACTGAAAGAAACTCAAATTAAACAAGGCGACCAAGCCACCCAAACTTATGAAACATGCTTGGTCCCTGAAAGTCAATCACAGTCAGCCCTCGCAAATCAAAGCAACCAGACCACCCAAACTTATGGGGAACCTGTCTGGTCCTTCAGGCAGTTCAAAATAAACACAGCACTAGACCCTCGAAACTTATGGAGACTCTCCCAGCCTTTGGTTGACCCATTCAAACTCAGACAATATAACCTTCCTCCCATCCGTCCCCCAGATGCAATCCCACAATCTGCTTTCAGTCAAACAACAAAAACTGAAACTGAATTCGCACAATCATTCCTTTATTTAGTCTGAATTGTATCCTGAAAGTCAAACTGAAAGTCAAAATCGGGAGACAGGCAACATACTCAGTCAAACATAGCAATGAATACAAGTAGGGGTTATACTGGGTTTATAAAAGGAAAATAATAGTTACTTTTCAATTCCCTGCCTCCAGAACTCCTCCTGAGTTCCGGCAGAGCTCCCGCAATCGGTGGGCTGACTCCCAACAGAGTCTTGTTGCGGTCCTACGGGTTGCAATCTCGCCTGCCGCCTTCCTCTCGTAACCAGGATTAGACTGAGAGTAAGAAGGGCAGAAGATAAGGGGTTTCAGACTCTCGAGATGCATGAGAGGGACAAACTCAACTCATAGGACAGGGCATTGTAATCTTTAGTCTCATGAGGGCCCCGCAATGATGGCCAACACACGTAGTCGTTAGTCAAACCGAAGTCAACTGCCAGCTGTTGACTCTCTAGCGCCTCTCTCACTGACAGCAATTCCCCCTTTTAAAAAGGCTTAGCAAC